CAACCAGCCAGTCACCCAAACACCCACCTGGGACCGCCACCAATTTTCCTGCCAAACAGAAATTAGGACCCGGGGTCCCTGGAGGGCATGGGTGGGAGCAACCCAGGCCCAGGGCCCTGCTGATGGGTCTCCAGGCTCCCACCAATTCTCTAAGACATTTTTGGTGCTTTGTATTTCCTCTAAAACCCTCTGTAGAAGGTTATCTAATGGCCAGAAGTGGTTCCAGGATTGTAGACTCACCTTCCCGACACCTCACACAATCTCCATTTCATTCAAGACAGTTGGGGTTGGGGAGGATGTCAAAACAAGAAGCTTTAGAGAGCTGATGGCGAGGCAGCCCAGAACTGCCTTCCCATCCTGGCTCCCACCCCATCTTCAGGAACAGGCAACCCTTCTTGGGATCCATGTTGTGATCTAAAACACTGATGGGTCTGAATGATGACAGACAAGGTCCCCAAAATTGATCCGGACATTTGGGGCCGAGAGGATATAAAGAAGCACCATCTACCTGGTGTTGGCGTGAACAGGCTCCAGGAGGGGTCTGGGAGGCACAGGGCAGTCTGGTTGTCAGATACTCTTTCCAATTTCTTTTCAAGACTTTAGCCAGGAGCCCTCCCTCCCTGCAGAACCTGCACCTGGTAATCTAAGTTTTCCGTCTTGCCTACTAGGCACGTCACTTGGTCTCTTTTTCTTATGATTCTTTTCTGTAAAATGGAGGGTTGGGTTATACTCAATACCAAATGTTTCCTTTAATCCTATACTTTAAATCTTAAAAAGCCTAGATCTGAATACTCTCTTAAGCTCCAGTCATGAAGTTCAGAATACTTGCTGAATATTTCTAATTGGCTGTCCCTGCTGGCCCTTCAGATGTATTTCTGAAACCAAATTCCTTTTTTTTTTCTCAACCAGCTTCTGCATGGGCAAGGATCTCATAACTTACTGAGACTCACCCAGACTCAGAAGGATGATGTCTCTCTACCTGGGAATCCTGGTAGCTCATCCCTATTCCCCATCCCTACCCCACATCCAATTATTCCTTGAGTCCTATGCGTCTTTTCTCCCTAAGTTCAGCCAAATCCATCCACACATCATCCCCATTGCCACCATCTTAGGTCAGACCACAGAGTTTCAACCCTGTACCTTTACCTCTACCCCTTTTAAGTCCACCACGCACTCCAGTGAACTTTCTAAAACTCAGTCCATCCAAAACTCATGAGTTTTCCAGGACTACCATTTCCTCTTAAGGAATTTTTGGCAAAACATCTGTGTCTTCCACAACCTACAGTCCTTCCGGTTTCATCTCTCAGCTCTCTCCTAGACCCTTCGCTCCAGCCAGAATATTTTCCTTTCTGCCCATTCCCTGCCCCCAACCTGGTCATGCTCACTCCTGCCTCAGAAGTTGGCTCACAGGGTGAACCTCCTTCTCAACTCCTGTTTATCACTGAAAAACTGGCTCAAGTTTCACATCCTCCTTCCAGGAGCCCACTCCCATATCCTGCTCACGTTTTCCGATACTGTGCTCCTCAAAGAAAGGGAGGGGCACTATAGTCAAGTAAATTTGGAAAACCCAGAGTTACACAAAGTTTAACAGATTTCCCCTTTCTCGCAGCCTTCACAGAGCTGCCGATATGATTGTGTAGTTCTTGCTACCAAAATTAACTTGATCATGGAACTCCTTTTTCATATAACGGATTTCCTAATGCTTTGTGTTCGAATTCTGACTTTATCGCTAACTAGTTTTCACTTCTGTGAAATGAGCATTATAATGACTTATGTCACAAAGAGTTACGAGCATTGAATGAGCTAATTCACATACAGTGCTTGCACCTAGTAAAAACTCAAAAAAAAAAAAAAGGAAGCGAGAAGTAACAGAAGTAATAGTAGTGAGATGAGCTGGGAAGAATTTTACTATGGCACTTCTCACTCGAAACTTAAGAATCTCAATTGCCCCATCTTTTCACTTGTATGTCTTATACAAATGTGACAATGTTTCCTCAGGGTCTAGTACCATTGCTGAGCACACAGTAGGAACTCGGCCTTTGTGTTTTGGTGATGACAATGGCATTGTTCAGTTGTATCCGAATGTGGGAGAAGGTATTCAGTGTGGCGCCATGCATGGGTTGGATTGCAGCCAAGTAAGAGATAACCCCTCAGACCTTGGGAAAGAGAGAGGTGAAGGAGCTAAAGGAATAGAGGAGCTAGTGGCAGCAGATTAGGAACAAGAGAAAGAATGGTTGGTCAGGAGTTGCTGGAGGTCACTCTGGAGACACTAATTTGTCTAGGAGAAATGCGATGAAACTAGATTTCACTTCCCCACACCCTACTCCTCCAAAGCCCCCAGGAGCTTTTACTTTGGGGCTATCCCCAGCACATTAGGGAGTTTGTGGACGGAATCGGAACAGAGAGCTGGCGCCTTGGACCTCTTGGGAGTGTCTCAGGCCTCCTCGGTTGCCATGGAGTCAGGTTGCCTCTGGCCTCAGAAACTCACCCAGGACCTGAGGGCCCACACCCAGACTTTAGCCCTCTCCTTCTCAGGCACAGCCAGAGACAGGGCAGACCCAAGAGAGCAAGAAGTGAGAGACGGAGAGAGAGAGAGCCAGCAGCCCAGGTGGCCAGAGCAAGGAGCTGAAGGAAGGGAAGGGAGGGGGCAGGACCAGGATGCTTCGGCCCATTGGTCGGGCGCACCCTAAGAGTGGCGATACAGAGCAGGTCAATCTGAAAGATCTGGAGAGTCCCTCCCCTCTCCCTGGGCCCTCCCTCCCAGCAGTCCAGGATGGTGATCATTGTGGGGACACACTGGGCAGGGCCAGCAAATTGCTGGGTGTTGAGTGGTATTGGGATAAGATGCTGGGAAAGGGACTTGGGAAGATCCTGCCCTGAGGGAAGGAGGTGGTATAATCAAGAGGTTCTTGGCCTTCACCTGAGGCAGGGAGGCTGCATTCCATCCCCACCAGGAGCTCTGGTCTGCGTTCTGTCAGAGGCTGCTCAATGTGGGCGGACTGGCAAGGTCAAGTCCCAGCCAGAGAAGAAAGGGCGGGACTTGGGTACACCTCCACCTGCCCTTTCTTGGTGAAGGGTGTCATTCCTGGGGAGAAGGCCTCACAAACATGGGGTAAGGTGACATCCTGCCGGACACCTCCACTTGAAGGCTGCTCAGAAGGGCACTTTATCCGAACGTAGGGGTGGATGGGAAGACGATAAATTAAGATAGGGTTGGGGTAAAGGGGTGGGTCGAGGATTTGGGAAGGGGCAGAAAGAAGGGATGGGGAAATCGGGTCAGGATGTAAGGAAAAAGGGCTGTTTCCAGTCTCTCTCACTCCTTCTCTCAGTTCCAGGAAAATAAGAAACCAAAACTCCAAAAATAGAGAACTTTATTGTCAAAGATTAGCGTTTGGGACTTGGGCCGGGAAACTGAGGCCCAGCCCCGGGAACCAGGGGTGCAAAAGAGGGTGACACGCAGTACACACAGAAGGCACAAGTGGGGAGGCCCCTCCCTGACAGAGTCCCCACCCAGTCACCCACCAGGTCTCCCTGTTTCCCTCTAGAGGAGCACCACAGCTGGTCTTATATAGGGACCCAGGTTTGGAAAAGACTTCATCTCCACTTCCCTCCCCCTTCTGCCTGCAAACCCTTCTGCTCACCTGCCTATCAGCCCCGACCTGTAAGACCCAGCAGCTGGTCTAGTGTCCCAGGATTTGACAAGTCACAGGCCTCTCCCAGTAGGGAGGGAGCTGGAAGAGGAGATCACACCCTCCCGAGGTCAATTTTCACTTGACCTAACCCTCCATGCTTGGGTGAGGCGCATTACCAGGGCTCCAGCATCCCCAGATCTTTGGTCCCACATTCCACCACTGGCTTGGGCCAGCGCCCACACAGGACCACACGGTCACTCCCACACCTCAGTCCAGATGGCCCCGTGGTAGGGGTGGGGTGGGGGTCGGGGCGTGCTGAGCCGCAAGGGCTGGCCTACCTGCTTGCTGGGGTATTTGGGGGGGTTGGTGCGGTAGCTGTAGTCAGAGTACTGCTCAGAGCCCGTGGACGTGGTGTCCCCAGTGCCCACGAACGTGTTTGCAGGCGGCAGGTCCTGCACCACCTGGTGCTTCTTGGAGGCTGAGGGTGACTGGGGCTGCAGCTGGATGGAAGGCAGTGGGGAGTTAGAGCGGTAGTGGCGGCCCAAGTCAGGGCTGCCTGGCGGGTAGTTGAGGGGCAAGTGGATGCGGGGGCTGTCCCCAGGGGCATCACTCATCAGGTTGAACTTGAGAGACTTCTGCAGCCCGGCCTCATCCTCGTCCTCCACTGGCTTCACGGGCTTCGGGGACTTGCTCTTCTTGCCCTTGTTTTTGTTTCCCTTGGAGGCTTTGCTGCTGGGCTTGGGGGCGTATAGGTCCTTGGTCTCCTTCTTCCCAGCCTGGTAGCCGCTCTTGGCCTCCCGTTGCCGGCAGTAGCGCACGAGCACCGCCAGGGCGATGAGCAAGGCCACAGCCACGACGCCAGCCACCACGCCAAAGAGGATGTTGCCACGCTGCTTGGAGCGCTCATACTCCGGATCCCCAGCAATGTCGATGTCCAGCGGTGTGTCTAGGCTGTGGCCCAACAGGGTCTCCAGCAGTGTGCGGTTGGCCAGGGTCTCATTGACATAAAGGTGGACCAAGGCTGTGCCATAGCGCGGGGGCTTGCCACGGTCACTGACCTTCACCACTAGGCGGTGCAGCCCATGGTGGCGTCGCTCAATCTCCTTCTCCAGGGTGATGGCACCTGAATGGGACCCAATCTGGAAGAGTCCGTAAGGGTTGCCACCAGCGATACTGTAGGTCAGCTCAGCATTGACACCAGAGTCAATGTCCTCAGCTGTCACCTGGCTCACTGTCTCACCAAGACGTGTCTGGGGGGTCAGCAGCCGGTGGGAAGTGTTGGAAGGGGCAGTGATAAAGGGCGCATTGTCATTCTCATCCAACACATTGATAGTGACGCCAACATAAGCTGAGCGAGGCGGTACCCCACCATCCACCGCCTTCAGCTGGAAAGTGTAGGTGCTTTGCTGCTCCCGATCGAAGCTCAGGCTAGAGAGGATGGTGCCTGTGCCATTCTGGATAACAAAATCACCATTGTCCTGCTCCACTGTGAGCTGTACCCGGGCATTCTCCCCTTTGTCCCCATCAATGACTGTCACCATGCCCACTGGACTCAGTGCTGGCATGTTCTCCATTACTGAGAAGTTGTAGCCACTCAGCATAAACTTGGGGTCATTGTCATTGCAGTCTAACACATTGATGAGGACGGTGGCCGTGCCCTGGAGGCTAGGGCTGCCCCGGTCAGCGGCCACCACCTTCAACTCATAGTTTTCCCGCTGTTCCCGATCAAGGGATGTCTTCACCCGGATCTCTCCAGTCTCAGGTGAGATGGTGAAGAGGCCCTTGGCAGCCGGCTCAGGCTCGAGAGAGTAAACCAGCTCAGCATTGGAGCCCGAATCGGCATCACTAGCAGTGACCTCAGCTACCACTTCACCTGGCTTGTTGTTTTCTGGGAAGGTGACCTCCGTGACACTCTGGGTGAATACAGGTGCATTGTCATTGACATCCACCACTTGCACCTTGAGGGAGTTGGTGCTAGAGAGTGGGGGGTTGCCAGAGTCCACGGCCACAATCTCGATGGTGTAGTCTTTGACTTTCTCGTAGTCAAGTGGGGTGGTGGTCTGCAGGAAGTACTTCTTCTTGCTGTCACTTCCCGTCTCACTGGCCTGGCGTAGCTGGAAGGGCACATCACCCGCCACCACACAGGTGACGGCTGCATTCTCTCCTTCATCTCGGTCAGATACCTGCACCAGGGCCACAGCTGTTTCCTCGGCCACATCTTCTGAGATGTTAGCCATCCCATCTTGATGGGTCACCAGCCCTATGCCCCGGATCTCAATGGTGGGGGCATTGTCATTCATGTCCTTCACAGTCACCACCACCTGAGCACGGGCACTCTTGGGGTTGGTGCCTCGATCCTTGGCAAGCACTGAGAAGCGCAGGGTACTTAGGTCCTCACGGTCCACGGGGCCCTGCACAGTGATAAGTCCAGTATTCCTATCCAGTCGCAGAAGACGCCTCACAACTTCAGGCGCCTGGTGGAACATATAGTCGATCTCTGCATTGGCACCTTGGTCCGAGTCATTGGCCTTCACCTACGGGGCAGGAAAGAGAAACGAGGAAAACAGGGATGGGTTAGTTTCGTATAGCAAATTAAGGGATGTATGTGCTGCCTTTCCACTGAGCATGGCAGACACGACTGATCTAACGTGGCACCCTTTCCAAAAGCAGTACGTGCACTGCCCTTTTCCCAATCCTGACACGGTGGCACATATTACTGATCTGTTTTCCTAAAGAGTGCAGATGCAGCCTGCAACTCCTCAGCAGTGCTGCAAGCGACTACTAGAGATGGGAGAGGGCAGAATTAAATTCCACTTCTCATTCCTACACTAGTCTGCCCAGATATAGTGACGAGGGTCCAATCGTCCGATTAGTACAGCCCTTTCACCCAATTAAACTGGACTTCAACCCTTCTGAAGAGCTGGAAAGGTGTGAGCAATAGAGATGGTGTATGTGCATGACATATATATATGAAACGTATGCATGCATATACATGTATGTGAAACTGATTACGTGTGATCGTGGGAGGAGGTATATGTGTTTGTGAACATGTGTGTTTGCACATGAGTGGAGACCCACATGTCCACCTGGAGGCTACAAGTGAGGGGATTTCTTTTGAAAGCAGCCACGTAGGGATGTGGGTCAGAGGGAGCCCGCCAGGCCACTGCTCTGGCAAACCGGGGAAACCTGTTTCGGCAGCTTCTTCCCCTCCCTGCTGGGCTGGTGCTGGCTAGGCACCGACTTGAGGAATCTGGCCGAGCCTGTGGCCAGGAGGGAGGGGTTGGTGCAGGCCACAGAGCCTGCTGGCAGCGGCTGGGCTCCCAGCATCAAACAATGAACTGCCTGTCCCTTTGCAGTGGGCACGCCCTCCCACGCCAACTGAAGCACACACAATCCAACTCTATACAAACATGGGTGGTAACGGGGCAATAGGAACCAGGTGGGAATGACCATGAGGTGTCACTGGTCAAGGAGAAACATGAAGGCTAGAGTTTCGTCACAGCTCGACAGAATGTAATGGCAGTGGGGTGGAGGATGAGCGGGGAGGACAGAACAGGCATAACTTGGCAGAGTTCTGAGGGGCAGAGCAGAAGGGTTTGAGGTTCAGATCCCAGCTCCCACTTCTCAACTAAATATGTGACCTTGGGCCAATTATTTAACCTCCCCAAGTGACAGTGGGGATAATAGAACCTATTTCATTGTGGTGAGGACTAAATGGAATAATACATGTAAATGCCTAACACTGCCCGGCCCGTGGCAAATGCTCCGTAAATAACATTGATCTCTCTTTTTGTTCATCCATCCATCCACTTATCCATCTGCCCATCTCTGAAAATCAGCTAACACAGTGCTGGGCACCAAACCTAATGGGCCCTCGAGCCACTGCTAGTCTCTTCTCCTTCCTGCCAGGACTTTTTTGACAGTAAAGACAGCTGGGCAGGGGTTCCCAGCTGCCCTGGTCTCTGCTCACCTCTGTGAGCCAAACTCTCACCCCTGTGAAAGCCAAACAGTTTCTTCTTGCCCTGCCACTCGGGGTCTGTCTGTCCCCAACTTTTTCATTATGGTTCCCTCTGTCACCTTGTCTCTATATTGGTCACTCAGCTTCTTTATCTGCCTCTCTTGACATCGTCCTTCTCTTTTTCTCTGTCTTCTGTTTCTCTCCCATACACGCTCGGTTCTTTATGCCTCTTTCCACTGCCAGTTCTTTCCTACACTCTCTGTTGCTGCCCTGTGTACCTCTGGCCTCACCTCTGCCCCACGCTCCTGCGTCACCACTGGGAGGGGTATAAATGGTACACGCACACAGGCTCTGTAGCCAGACTGCTGGACACGGACAAGGTGGGATCTGAACATATAGTTGGATGATATCAGGCAAGTTTCCTAATCTCTATGGGCTCAGCTTCCCATCTGTAAAATGGGGATAATGCTTACCTTGTACTGTGGGGATGAAATGGTATAATACACATAATGTATTTAGAGCAGTCCTGGCACCTAGGCTATTATTATTCAACATCCCCGACTGTCTGTCTCTCTTTTCTTTCTCAGCTTCTTTTCTATAGTTTCCTGTCCACCAGCCTCCAAAAAAAGGGCTGAAACTCCTCCCCATGCTCCACTTCAGTTTGAGGACGTAGGATGAAGGCTTTCCCAGGACAGGTAACGGTGTCCAGGGCAGGCCGAGCCCTCCTCAGCAACCTCACATCAAAGATAGACAGCTTCAGCCCAGGGAGACAGAGAAAGGAGCTGGGGCTGGCAGGAGGCCAGGGCTGAGATGACAGCGGGAGATACGCCCACCTGTCTGCAGGGACGCTTTCTCTGCTCCCTCCCAGGCCCTGGCCCTATCAAGCTGCCCAGCCCCTGGGGCAGTTCCCATGGAGAGGGGTGCTGAGAACAGCAGAGGCAACCGACCCCCCACTGTGCTAAGCACCCACACCCATGGCCACGCAGCACCTACTGGAGGAAGCCAGCATACAGACATCTGAGTAGTTTTCCAGAGCTCTGAAGACTCACCTGTCTAAAACAATCTCATCTGACTGTCAAGGATGGGGGCAAAGTAAGGCTCTGTCCTCTAGCTTCACAGAAAACCTTATCTGGCTAAAGAGCCTCTGGTTTGGAAGATACCCCCATCTTTGGAGAGATTCTACCTGGACAGAAGGTGATTCCCTTGTTCCAGCTTGGCTCACAGGGGTAGGGGGAGATCAAGTGACTTGGGAGGGGTTTTACTTCTCAGAGATTTCTCCAACTCGAGTCTGCCTTAAGGATGGGGATTACTGTTCACATGCTATGTCACTCTCACTGAAGTAGCTTGACAGAGGAAAATAATATCACCTGCTGGGGTGGGCACAAGGGGTCTTACCCCAGTATCTTGGTGGTTCTCCATCTAAGTGAAAGGGACTCTCACCAGGTTAGGGTGGGCTCCCATTTCTAAAGATGGGTCACTCCAACAGTGAGGTGAAGGGGCCTCTCACCTGAATGACCGAGTGGCCGATGGGGCTGTTCTCTGACAGCTCAGCCTCGTAAGAGGGCCGCTCGAACTTGGGGGCGTTGTCATTGGTGTCAAGCACGGTGACGCGCAGAAGGGCACTGCTGGCACGTGGGGGGCTGCCACCATCCTGCACCTTGATGGTGAGATCATAGGAGTCCCAGCGCTCCCGATCCAGGTTGCCCATCACGATAAGCTGAGGCTGTTTCCCATCCTGGTCCTCTGCCACCTGCAGCCCAAATAGCTCCTGGGCCTCAGGCCCGGCCTGCAGCTCATAGGATGCCACACCATTGGGGCCAGCATCACGGTCTGAAGCCACTGGGATGGAGAAGAGTGAGCCAATGTTGGTGTTCTCAGGGATGGGCAGCGTGATGACCGGTGAGGCGAAGTTGGGTGTGTTGTCATTGATGTCCTGTACCTCTATCTGGCCCTCAAGCAGCCGGGGACTGCCGTTCTGCACAAGGTCCGTGATAGACACCTCAAACTCCAGGATGCAGGGCTCACCGGGGAGCTGATTCTGGCATTCACGGAGTCCCTCGCGGTCGATAGAAGTCTCGGTGGTGAAGATATCGCCTGTCTTGCCATCTACCCGCAAGTACGGGGCACCTACCTCTAGTTTGTACAGGTGGCCCACATCTGGAAAACCATAGTCAGCTGCGAGGCTCCCGATGAGGGTGTTGGGCGGCTGTTCTTCCGGCACCTTGTACACCACCCGAGTGGCACAGCCTGGGGATGGAGCCAGCAGGAGTAACAGTGTCAGCAGCACAGGGGGCAGCAACAACTGTCGCCCCCCAGGGCCTCGGCTGGGCCTCAGGGGCCCCATTCTGGCAGGCTCCAGAATCAGGAAGGCTGCAAGGGGAAGAGGCAAAACAGGCAGTCAGCTAGGAGGAGGAATCTGGCCTGAGGGCTGCCCAGAGCCAGCCTCCCGCTCTCCCTCTCCCACCTGCACACTATTCTCCCAGAAGGAGAGCTCAGCCCAGCACAGCACCCTCATTCCGGACCACAGAACTCTGAATCTCACCCACAGCTGGGTGGAGGAGTCGCGTCAGCCCCAGCTGGAGGAGCCGGTACAGGACCTGGAACAGGTCTAGAGCAGCTCCCGCCCATGGAACGCCCTGACCCACTGACACTCCCTCCTTCCCTCCCTGCTCTCTGCTCAGTGCTTTGCCCAACACCTCCTTCTCACCAGCATCCTGCCTTAGTCACCCACGGTAATTACCCTGATACTGAGATAGAGACAGCTAGCTAGTGGCAGGGTGAGGCCTCGAGCACCCCCCACATGTGGTAGGAGAGACATGGTACCTTATATTCCCCAGACCCTGGATCGTTAGCGCTCACGCTGAGGGCCACTCAGGCTGGCTGGAGGGAGAGGAGACAATGTCTTGTTTCTCTCCCTTCTGCGATGCCAAGTCAATGTATGTGTATGAGGTATGGCATCTTAAATCCCTCGTCTGACAAAAATCACTCATAGTACCCAATGTCCCCCACTGCCCCATGAAGGGCCAGCTTGAATTGGATACCAATTAAGGCCTAAAAAAGTTAGGGCTGAGGAGTCCTCCCTAAACTCCCCACCCAACACATGTGTGTTCCCAGGACTCCTCCCGCTCCCTCTCTGCCTTCCACTGGGGCAGCATGGGGCGGAAGAGGGTATATAAGAGAGAGCGGACATCAAGATTGGGGTCAGGACCATGGTCAGGAATGACAAACCCTGGAATTGGAACCGGAGCTGCCTTGGCTTGTCCTTAGCACCTGGGAGCCCAGCATGTCTGACTGGGACAGAGCCACCAATGACACTGCCTGCCTTTCCCTGACCACCCCCCCAACCCCCAGCTCACAGTCTCTCAGTGAACATCTGGCTCCTATTTGATTCCTAGCCCCACAAACATCTGGCCCCTATTTCACATCTGGCTCCTCCTCCTCTTAATGGGTCTAGTTCCATCTCTCCCTGCCCATCCCCAAATCCTTCCAATTAGAGTCCTGTATGCTCTAGCCATCCATTAGCTGCACCCCATCACCACGATAACCCACTTCTTCTGCCCATCTCCCTAGCTTCGAGGCTGCGCATTTGCAGACCCAAGCCAGACCTTCCAGCTCCTATACTGTCCCTGTCTTGACTCCTCCTCCTCTCTAACAAGACCATGGCCAAGCCCTTTATTCAAATCCAAAGTCTTTGGCCCAGAATTTTCAGCAAAGGGCTGAGGTTTCATCTCTTTTTTCCCACCTCCCCATTTGCATCTGGAATACCTGTCCTACGTCTGGAAATCCCATCCTAGGCTCTGTCGCAGACCACACCCATCTTACTAAACACAGGCTCTGGTCCCCTTGGAATCCTTCCCAGGCCCCTCCAGCCCCTGGTGACCTCTCTTTCCTCCAACTCACAGCCGCTTATTGTCTGCCTCAGTCCCGCCGCAATGAATCACTGTGCTGCCTGGGACACCGCCCGCCTGCCTTCTTCAGTTCCAGTATCGTGCACCTATTCCTGTGTTCTCTGCCTCTCCAGGCAGATGCCAAACATCCTGAAGGAAGAGACAGGCTCCCTACACTCATCCCCCACCCATGTTCTTTCACAAAGCGGGGTACATTGTAGGTGCTCATTCATGCATTCAATAAACATTTATTGGGCACTTACAATGTGCCAGGCTTTGTTCTGGGACTGGGACACAGCAACAAACAGGACAGATGCAATTGCCATCGTGGAGCTGAACTGGTTCTAACTCAATGACTATTTCTCAATTTTGTTTGGTTGTACCCATTTGACACATGTCAGGCAGCAGGATGGAGAAAAACAGGGATTATGACCTCAGACAATCTGAGGCAAGCCCCAGCTGCCCACTTTCTGGCTGAAGCAAATGATTTAGAGCCTCAGTTTCCTCAGTTTCCTGATCTGTAAAATGGGGATACTACCTATTTCTGAAGGAGTCTGAAATCATGTGGGCTAAATGTGAGTACTCAACAAATGCCCCTGAAAGCACTTCCAGTTGTAGTTATGTAGTTGTTTGGGAAATAATCTTTGAATTGTTTGTCTTTCCTACAAGATTGAGCAGAGAGCAGGAAAGTCTCTGCTTTGTTTACTCTTAGATCCTCAAGACTTCTCACCCTGGACTCCCACATACAGTAGGCACTCAGTAAAATAATTTATTATTTTAGCTCCCAGGCTTAGCCTACCCTGGCACTTTCGGTGTGGTCCTTGCTTGTCTCCTTGCCCAGTTCCTCTACTGACAACCTGCTGGGGTCAATTTAATCCCTCTCTGTTTAGGTCCATAGTAGACTCTCAGTAGTGCTCACTGAACACACAGATTCCTTAAACATGAGTTCAACACTTCCCTTCCTCCATGTAGCCAGCCCAAAACTCAGCAAGCCCCTCCCTGGTCACTCAGAATGTGTTCAAAGTATTGGAGGCTGTTATCAGATTAGTGTGTATTTGTTTCCAGTTGCAATCTTAATCTCTTTAAAGAAAGAAAAATTTATCTGATAGTCCATTTGCATCCACCCTCCAGCCACTTCCCCTCTACCTGCGTGGGCCTGGCACAGAGCTCATCTTACCATCATCTTACCACCTGTCTCCAAAGAACCTCATTCCCTTCTGGGACCCCACCTCATAGCCCACACACAACATGGGATTACTGTACGCACCAATTCCATGCATGATTCTTGGCAGGGTGGGGGTTACAGGCAATTACCCTAACCTGACAAAGAAGAGAAATATGGCAGTGACTGCTTGCCTCTACGCACTCACTCCAGATCAAGGATTCTTAAGCTTTTTGGGTCACATCCCCCTTTATGAATTTTATAAAACTATGGTGCAAATTTTTCCAAAAAAAATGAATGCTCACAAAATCTGGCTACAAATCAGAGGTCTGTGGCCTGGCAGAGTTAGGCTGACTTTGATTTGAGGTCACAACCTGGGACTCTAACCCCTCAGGCCTCCCAGGCAACACAAACACAACATGCTTGTGACCCACACCCCCCATCCCCCCAAGAGATTCCTTACCTCCAGCCAGCACAGGAGGCAGGAAAGGACTGTGGTAACCAACTTCTGAGTTGGAAAGAGAACCACAGAAGAATATCCAAGGCAAGGAAGGTATGGGGGGAGGGGAGTTCCTGGGAGGTAGGAGGAATGTGGGGGGGAAATGGGATTGGGGGAGGGTATCCTTAGTAGTGGCAAGAATTGAAGAGGGTTTAGGCCCTTGCAGCACCTGGAGTGTTCCTTTAAAATGAGGATTGTCTGGCCCCACCCTTAGGAATTCTGATTCTGAAAGGTGGACCCAGAGAAATCCCCAGGCAGCAGGTTGCAATGGCCCTGACCTGCTGGGAACAACTTTAAGATATACTAAGTCCTGGAAGTTAAGAGAGAAGTGTAAACTCTATCGTCATCACCTTTACCATCATCGTTGCTGTCATCGCTAGGTCCCAGCTAACACTCCCTGAGATTTTACTATATTTGCATACATTATGTTATCTAATCCTCCCAACCCTCTGAAAAGAGTATTATTTTTTATTACACCATTCCCCCTAGTACAGAAGATAAAATTGAGGCTCAAAAGGAATAATTAATTGTCTTAGGCCACAGAAGTAGTAAGTGGAAGTCAAGATTTGAGAAAGAATGCCTCTTCACATCCCAGAGTCTGGGGGAAAGGCTGGATGGGGGAGAGGAAAGCAACAGAAATCGCCCACTGAGGCTAGAATATGACATTTGTAATATGCCCCCCCCACCCCCATCTCTGGGCTGCTAAACCTGCCAGGCAAGGAGGGCAAGAGAAAGCGGAGGCATAAGGTTCAAGGACTGAAGGCCCCAGGCCCTCCAGGCTGTTTCAGGGCCCCTAGGGATGCAGGGAGTCAGAGCAGCCAGAACAGCAGTTAGACGGCCAGCTTCAACCTTGCTCCCACATCCCTGAACTTTGTCCTGGTGGTTGGTTATTGGGAGTCATTAGTTCCAGGTGGCAGCCTTTGAGGTGGTTTGTGCCTTATCTGCCCTTCCCCAAGCCCTGGCTGCCTTCCTGGCAAGGGTGTCCTCACCTCTGCCCAGTGACATGGGCACCCAGAACCCTGAGAACCCAGAGCCTAAGCAGAGATACTGACTCATCTTCCTCAGGCTTAAGAAGCACAGTGAGGTGTGAGGGGGTAGAGTCCAGGGAGGGCCAAGGAAAACACCATCTGTGTCAACATCTAGGGAGGGAGGAGGACAGTGGTGAGGGTTTACCTGGAACCTTCATTTCCAGCCCACCTCAGGCACCAGGGTCTACTTCCTGCTAAATGTGTGGCCCGAGAAGAAACATGCAGAGGCAGCTATCACTGTCCCAGTGACCAGGTCAGGCCTAGACCCCCTCCCACACACACACACCTGCACATGCAGTTATTTCACTCTCTCAACTATTACACAACAGCTACTGACACTGTGAGCACAAAACACCAAAGGGACAAAGCTCATGTCTGGGAGAGGAAGGTAAGCAAGCAGGGCTGCATGGGGTGGAGCTCTTCAGAGGCCTCCCACAGTGAACAAGTGCCAGCCCTCAGCTCCTCTCCCTTCTCTTCCACAACCCTCTATTAGCCTCCACAGGGCTTCCAGGCACCTGCATTCTTGAGTCAGATTGTTGGGGTTCAAACCCTTGTTATACCACTTCCTAGCTGTGTGACCTTAGTCAAGTGACTTCACCTTTCTGAACCTATTTCCATATTGTGAAACGGAAATAATAAATCCTGCCTCTCGAAATTATTTGACAGGATTCAATGAGATCTGATGCATTAAGGTCTATTCTATTGTAAAGGGTTTAATATATATATATATTTATATATATATATGTATCTTTCAATCCCTGAATAGAGCATTTTATTGCCAGCATCAGGCACACAGTA